TATGTTATGTTATGTTCTTATGTGTTGTCTCATTTAAATTGAAAAGCGATAGATTATGTATTATTAAATGTCTCTAAGTACGGCAGTATGTGTTTAAAGCTAAGGATACACTAGGGGACAGATGTCATACGTCACGTGTCGCCAGCGACGTTGGGTGAAGTAGCGCGACGTTGCCGGACTTTGGTCGACATGTCTGGCAATATCAACGTCGCTGTGGACATAAGACGAGCGTTGTCGCCTTATATGGCGAGCGATATCGGCAGGGTTCGCTTGATATGTCGCCGATACATGTTGTAGAACATTTGTCCCTTAGTATATCCTTGACTTTATAGTACTAAAAGTTATATAAAAACTGTGTTTCTGGTACTTATTTGGATTGCAATCATATGATATAGATGTAACTTCTAGTAATAAATTGTACTGCTAAGCCTTCGAACTATTGGGGAAAAGTTAGTAGGATAAGATATAAATGTACTCCAGCTGTTTGAATAAATAATTAAGTAATTCTTTCTTGTGTGGAATATGTATATGTCAAGTGTGGGTAATTGAATTGTATGGTGATATTGTAATGATTGAATGTATGAAATTTATTGTGAATAAATAAATATTGTAATATTTTAAAACAATATTGTTTTTTTGTGTTTTTCAATATTTTATTTAAGTTTTTTTTCTCTAGCATCTGAGTGGGTATAAGTGCAACTCTTATATGGTTGTGATAAAATTATCAGGAGTTTTCCTTTTTTCCTAGCCCTGGCCTAATCTAATAGCTCCTATCTCTAATCTAATAGGTTCCAGTTTAGGTAGCCAGTAGGTGGTAATAGGTATATTACAAACTGATGAAATAACTTGCCTGAAGTTATTTTGGTAGACCTGTGTGTAGGCTTAACACGTTAAACGCCATGGCAGTCACTGGTGACCGACATTAGCGGAGGATTTGCCTTCAATAGTTTTTTATTGGCAGCCAATGCCTTAAGGTCATCCCACATTTAAAAAACACGTTTCCCACACAGCCATTGTGTTGTTATTTAAATATGAACTTTAAATCATATGTCGTATGATACATTTCGTAGAGGTGTAGTCGAGGCGCCCGCGTGCTTGTGGCGCCCCGTCCGCGGTCTGTCAGCGCGGCGTCGACGTCGGCGAGTTGACGGCAAGCCGCCCACCATGCACTAGCAAAACAACGTCACATCGTAGTTAGTATTGTTAAAAGATTTCACCTCGTGGCCGGCGCGCCCCCCGCGAGTTTCAAGCGCGCCGGTGCCGCGCCGGCAACCCGCCGCCTGATAGTTGGTAGCTGTGCGGTCACCGCGCCGATGCCACGCCAGAGGCTTTTTAAATGTGGGATGACCTTTAATGGTGTGGAAAAGCAGGTAAGCCTTTTGAGTAATTGTTGGGGACGGGTCTCTTCAATGAATTAGTAGACATATGTTAAACTGGTATATTAAAAAGATTAAAACGGTAAGTTATAAAATGACGTCTTGTACGAGAAGACGCAGACGCTTTGATGATGACGCTTGTGTCCGTACGATCCTAATATCAATATGGTGGCCGTACGCTGCTTCCGCTCGCGCTGCTTCTTGCCCCGCGCGCCCCCCTCTCTCCCGGGAGCGTCCGGCTACGTTCACGCGCAGACAGTAATAATATCTTCAAGCAGCTTTTCAATTATGGACATCTTCTGGCTGATGAGGATGATGGTGACGAGCAGTAGTTTTTAAACTGCTATCTCCAATCATGCCAAGCTTTCCAGCAGTTCACTGTCATGGGCTGTTGATGTTATTTAAGTCATTCTGTTTTTTCAAACTGGTATGCTTATTGTTTGAAATTCTCAGTTATAGCACAGAATCTAAAGTAACCCCCCGTATACGACAAAGAAAAATGACATATTATTAAGATTGTAAGAGATAGATGTTGTATTTGTAGATATTGTATCGTATACATGTATATTTTTTTTTATAATTTTTGCGTATCTTTTCGGATAATAAGAGCTATGGTGTTATTGTGTTATTAATTCATTTTAAGGTGTAGTAGTAGTATGAAAAGATAATTTCATGATCTACATACATTATTAAAGGTTGTCTGGTAGATATCGGTACTGTGATAATGAATACCTTTGTACTTCGTAAGTCTGAACATTTTTTACTCTACTTCCTGTTAGACATAAAATCATTATATTGTAGTCTTTGGCATGATCAGCTTGCCCGTACACTGGATCGTATATGGCTGAAATTGTTGATTGGGATGTTCACAAGAAGAAGTAAAAGTCTCCGATTGAATTCGTCTTCAGTGAGTGGTTTCATTTTACTAAAATGAATCCCCGAAATGTATGTAAGCGGATATCTCTAGTATCAAATTGGATAATTCTTTCTTTCATGTATTGGTTATTGCCAGGAGAATTCAGTTTGTCTGAATAAAAACTGACTGACGGGACTGCACGATTGGCGCGGTGGCTGGGCAACCGGCTGCCGCGCAAAGTGTAGCCGGGTTCGATCCAGCCATCGCGAAGGACACACCGGGCGTCGGGATCGCGGAACGATCTCCGGCCACCGTAAGCGCGGGCCTGCGGACGGCGAGCATGGGTGGCTCCCCGTCCGACCAGAAACAGACCCGAGCGTATGGCGCGTCGCGTTCCGCGCGCGCCTCAAAGAGCCATCAGACCACCACAGATGGGGCCCAATACGGCCGATGCCGATTCGGAGTCGCGGAGAACCTAACGGGTAACCGGGGCTCCGGCTCGACGTGCAGGAGAAGGAACGGGGTGGTTTTTAGTCAGCAAGAGTCTGACACTCCCTTCCGCCTCACCCAGGCGGGAGCAGTCATTCGATGATTTTCCCCCCTTAACAAAAAAAAAAGCCGGTTCCGATTCCCGTACAGAGCAACTTTGTGTCTGATCCCCAAATTGTTGTTTCGTATGTATGTTTCGTTTTGTATGTA